TGTGCACACACAGATGCAAAAGAAAGTATCATATATAACTTTGTTTATACAGCTAAATGAATGAATTCACCAAAAGAAGACTCTTCAATGAACTGTTTCATCGTATTTCTACCTCATATTGTGGTATTTTTCACGAATTCCAAGTATTTACTCATCTTCAAGTGTTGGTTTTTGTAGGGATTTCGTTTGACTTGATGCAGGATTTCATCATGAGCTGCCATCAGTTGGAGAAGCACTCGAAAACCTGAGAGTACTGGACAGGTGTTTCGTCAGTCTTGTTTAGGACTCTTCATCAGTACGCACTAAACTAGGACTAAAAAGCTGTCCAGTACTCCCTGTTGCTTTTCTAAGGGTTCTCTAACTGATGGCAGTTCATGTTGAAATCCTCCATCCAATTTACATATATCTGATAAAGAATCCATTTATACTTTTATGAAATATATACAGCAAATATGTCAGTGATATGTGATTGCACAATAAACGCAATTTTATACATACTTTTTATTAAATTATACTATCTTTGTGTCACAATTTAAAACATTCCAGCTTTTATTCATACCTTTCAGGTGTCATGCATCTTCCACCATCTGAGTCTTCATTACTCTTGAAACTTTTCTGTAAGTTCCACATTTGTGAGGTGTTATCATTTTCATTGATTCAAATATATAAATATTTTCAAAGATAGTTTCCAACAGAACTTTACTAATATCGAATACTCAATAGCTTAAAGTTACTGCGAAATAAACCTGAGTCACAAGTTTCCGTTCGCTCACTAGTGACTAGCCTTATTCAGGTAGGTAGTTACCTGGGTTCTACTGCGAAGTCGTGAGCAGTAGGGTGCAGCAGGTCGGGTGGGAGGACAAATACTCTCCAGAGACATTGGCTAGGGGTCGCGCTATGTCGTGAATTGGCAGAAGTTAGAATTCATGGGCCACTGGATTGGGTCCCAGTGACTGAATGATATACGAGCTCGCCTTGTAACAAGAAGGTCCTGGATTCGAATACTGTAGGTGGGTGCGTACTGATGAAGAGTCCCAAACTAGGACGAAACAGTTGTCCTGTTCTCTAACCAATACTTATTCCCTTGCCTTGTACTTAAAACAACTAGTCATCTAAATTTTTCAGCATTAAGTGCGTGATGATTAGTTTATCTCATACAGAAATCAGAAATTCACCCTTCCAAAATCTTCAAGAATATCAGCCGTCTACAGCATACAAAGTGCTCAAATGAACTTTTCAAAGGAAAGAAACCCTTTACGGTTATTCCAAAATGACGTAAAGGGGGATTTTATGTCACCAGTACATCTAGTGTACAGCAATATGGTGATGCATTAAGTGTACTTTTTATCACAGAAAGCAAATAAGGTTTCATTCTGTATATTACATATCACATTAGTACACATTCTTCATTTTCGGAATGGAATAAATTGTTTGAATGAAGGATTTCTATTTTACCCTGCTATTTGTCATTGCTTATGTTGACCTCCTCTCCATATCACCTTATCTTCAATAATTTCAAAGTATTGTGAAGTCGTCTACCGTCAAATCTCAATATAGTTTACTGCTTTGTAGGCTTTCATAAACACTTTTCTTCAAAAGTCATTAAAAAATGTGACAGTTTTTCTGGCTGCTAGAATACCGATAGGTAGTGTCACCTAAATTCATATCACAGAAATCAAATCTAGTGTTTAAACCTTATACTTAATTACAATAGACGTATTTTGTAGAGTCAATCTGCTCACCTTTCGAATGCTTATATACTTCTTTACAGGTCAGCTTTCTCTAAACTCCACTGGTTGTCACTGTGAATTTTACCTTCTTTTACATAATTTTGTGCTACTAAGTCAGTATAGTTTTTTAAACGAGGAACTCTCACTGCCTACGTAAGAAACTGTCCGTATTACTAATTTCATCGTAAGAACCTTCCAGAATTGGATGGTACATACAAATGATTTTCAGTTTACTTGTTTTGAGTAAGGAGCTGCAATTCACTGCTCATATTAAGGTAACTATGAATTCAGTATCACTATCTGAGGAATTAAATGAATGTACGTCCAAGTAACTTATGCATAACAAGCTATGCTTAGAAAAGTGGTAGACAGACACTGTTTTCCTTGCATCAAGGTATATATATATATATATATATATATATATATATATATATATATATATAATCAAGAGCTATGTGGTTGAAATCAGCAGGAGGCGAACTCAAACCATCATTGAAGTACGATCTAACCAGGGCGGCGAATGGTGCACTCACACTTCTCACCCTATTTCAAGGAATTATTCTATTTGACTGGAGTTAATCACCCGCTATAATGAACATATTTCAGAAATGCGATTTAGCTGAAGTACACAAATATTGTTTACAAAGAGGATTGATTGCTGGTAGGAGAATCGGTTCTGGTAGTGATGTCATGGGTATAGAAAGCTTCATTAAGGCTGATGATGGACTCGGTGACTGGTTGTTCTATGAGTCGCATTTGTAACTAGAAGGTCCTGTGCTCTAACCTCAGTGGGTACTCCTGTGAAGAGTCTCAAACTAGAATGAAACAGCCTTCCAGTACTCCCAAGTTTTTCAGTGGTTCACCGACTGATGTCAGTTTGTAAAAAGAAGTCTTGTCGCTATATGCGAAAATGTTACCTGCGTATTATTTCTTTCCTGGAGATTTCCTTCTACTAAAATGTCTAAAAGAGCAATGGAATGTTAGATAGGAGAGTTTTTTGAAGGAGTACTGAAATGTTGATAACGATTGAATTTTGTGATGTACATTCAAATTTTAATTACTGATTCAAATGGAAACGTTTTTATTCCTAAACAGTGTCATTATTCAAATATTAATTTAATTAGTGCTTAATTCTTGTACATCTTGATATCTTACAGGTAAAGTCTTTTCGACTGCTCAAATTTGCAGCCGTAAGCTTATGTAGAAGTTTATTTAGCTGCTCTTAACATGAAATTTTTAAGTGATGCTTTCAACGGCACAATTGCTACTCTCTCTCACTTATGGTGAGTAATCTATTCACTGAACTTTCAGTGTCTTGTAGACAGCAACAAATTCTAGAATGATACCTTTTCAAAACTATGTGGTATTCTATAGTTTGGTTTGTAAGTAAAACATAACTAATCCTTACAAACCAAACTATAGAAAGTTGATCTGATGCTCGCTAGTGACTTGCTACAGGTTGGAGTTTCCTGAGTTCTAGTGAGAAGTCGTGACCAGTGAGGTCCAATTAGATGTCACGTGTGTGGATGGATGTCCCACCAACGACAGTGGTCGGGGTCGCGCTAAATCACGAATTGGTAGAAGTTAGAATTCACGAGCCATTGAATCGGGTCCCAGTGGCTGAATGGTATACGAGCTTGCCTTGTAACCGGAAGGTCCTGGGTTCGAAACCCAGAGGGTGCGTACTTCCGATGATTCCCAAACTAGGATGAAACAGCAGCTGTCCAGTACTCCCTGGTCTTCAATGGTTCTCTAACTGATATCAATCCGTGATCAACTCGTATGTGGTATTCACCTTATTTCATCAGCATGTTTCAGTTGGATTCTTCTGAAATTCATTCTACAATAGATACAAATCAAGTAGGGAGTAGCTGTGATAGCAAATTGAATTAATATGTTGAACTATAGTTTTATTTATAAAACCAGTATTGTCGATAAACATAAGGTATAAGGCTTTAGTTATTTTCCAGGAATGCTTGATCTAAAATCATTCTGGCTGTAAGATGTTGAAGAAACGTTGTCGCCTTAGTGTCCATGATCTGCGAATTTTTATTCATTTGTTATAAATATTCTTGACTATTCAAAAACTGGTACCACTGGCTAAGGTCACATAATGTGTTATTCGGTGCACAACTTTCTTGTTGACGTGTATAGAAAAATATATTCTATTTGGGTTTTCATGTAAATTTTCCGTGTGAAAAATGTGTTGTGAATTTTGTCATCTTCATAGATGATAAAAGAGTAGAAGAGAGAAATAACTGTTTGTGTTTTATGATGAAGATTCGTGAATTTCAGAGTACACATGAACTAATCTAGTTATTCTCTACTTCAGATGCCGAAACGTTGGAACCACTTCTGGTAAGCATAAAGACATACTGCGTATATACAGATCCCGTTTTTTCTGTTTAGGTATTCTGAGGACTACTCTTGTGATAATAAGTTATTATTATTAATATTCCCTTGCATTCTGAGTGGAACATAGGACCTCAACAACACGTCTCCAGATCGTTCTATTTTCTGCCATCCTATTCAGCTGGGTCCACGATTGATTAAACTCTCTCATCTCTTTCCTACATGATCTTCTCTATGTCACCCTAGCACCAACGACCCACTAGTCGCTTCCCATTTCCATTACACTCGAGCAATGGGCTGCATTGCGTGCGATGTCATTCGGCAGCCTCCTCAATGTGTTCTCGATCCGTCTCCATTTTCTCTTACAATTTATGTGGTGATAAAATCTTGGCCAGTTTGTTCTTATGTAACAACAGAAGACAAGGGCCGGCAATAGATCCTTATATTAAGGAAATCAGCACGTATTTATATATATTTCATGTACATTATTATAGCTTATTCAAGCAGACAAATACAGTCTTCTGATTGGTTGTTTCTGGTTTTTCGGAAAGTTAAGCCATATATTTGCGAATCCTATTTGCCCATGTTAAGTCTGCTGTAATTGGTTGTTGAATCAGCCTTGTTCGTATTTTCTATATAAGCTAGTTGATTTAATGGCTAACCATTTGATATCTATCTAGACAGTATATTCAAAGCGAGTCTTAATATTAGAGATCAATCAAAGTTCAGCAATCATATCAACCACCACACAGACGACAAATTTCAAATAAACTTCTGCACTGCGATTCGAATGAACGCTCGAATAAAAAATCATGTTTGCAACATTTTTGTATGAAATTAATGAAATTTGTTCCCAACTGGTTTATTTATACCAGATAAGTTACAAGAACACTTTTTACCCTCATTTTTCTTACAGAAGCACCTTGAAGGTAGCTCTCAAGTAAGTGATTATGAATGCCTGTTTACATAAAATTTCCAGGAAGATTAAGCATGACTTATATAGGTGTTTTTTTCTTTTTGAAGATACCATCAATTTTCCCATTGTGTGTAGCGTTAAAATGTTGTCAAAGAACTTTATCCTATGATCTTATTATTTCCAAAGACACTCCGAATCGACAAACACTAAGCACAGATATCGATTTTAATTCCAAAACAAAACTGATGACAAGAAATTGTATTTTTCGATTGTTAAAAACCAATATTCTCTACGAAGTCTATAAACAAATGTTTTTACAAGGAATTTATTATACTTTTAATCGTATTCTTTCGTCTTCTTCTAACTTGCACACGATCAAATTACCCACAGCTTCAAGTTACCCGCTAATGGTAACTAAGGCCATTTAACAAACGTCAAATGTTCATAATTATTGACAAAAGTATTTAGTAGGATACATAAGAATCTGAACAAGATTTATGAAGATGACGATATCTGTGAGATTAGACAGGAAATCATCTTGGAAGTATTATCTACCAAGTAAAGTAAAAGTTGAGGGACAGCTTCTCACTTACTTGGTGGAATGTGATGCATCCTCAACAACTTCTGTTCAAAAATTATCTCATACTGTTAGACTTTGAAGAAATTAACATAGGACAAGCAATTTTCAACTGAAAGATCATCGCGTTAAACTCTAGTGGTTTCTAATAAGTCGACTCTTCATTTGACAGAATACTGATTCATAGTCTTCTGTAAGTCTTGATAGTCACCTCTAACAACATCACAAACTGATATTACTGGTTTGTTTGTATGACTGTTATCAGTTTTTGTAGCCTCTTCTTGTTGAATACCAATAAAGTTAACAAGATTAAAGTTAAAGTAATTTTTCGGATGATGAGTAAATACAAGAAACAAGTAGTCGCCGAATTGTGATACATGTCACCTCTGACTAATGGTGATTCTTGTTACAGATTGAAACCTCTTGCTCTGTACATTAGTTGTCTTAATTATTTCCATAGAACTTCAAGAAGTAGGCGTAAAATCATGTGTCTATCAGTGTTAGAGGCTTGAAGCTTTTGTAGCAATAGTGATTATTTTTACAGAATGGAGTCACTAGCCTCATGCCCAACGTGGGTTAGTGAGGTAGAGGAATACGTCAGCTGGGGTCGAACTCCGGACCACATGCGTAGTCGGCGAGCATTTTACACTGTAAACATGTACTAAAGGGATGTTTCTGTAACAATAGAACTCAGTTTGACGTTCAGCTGAAATATGTGAAGCAGGTGAACAATCATTGCTTCTGTATTTATTAACTATCCAATTACTTTTTCGTCATTATTTCTAACATAATAAGATAACGGTGAACACCAAAATTGTCTGACCTGTTTACTTGAAAACGTTTTGATATTCATCGCATTTGGAATGATTTTCACTTTGTATACTAAAATACAAAGACAGACGGTGGGGTAAGTATTTCAACTTACGTGTTAATCTCCGTTTCCTTTGAGTTGTATTCAATAAAATATAAATGAAGATCAGTAAGGTCAGTGTACATTCACGGAATTAAAGGCTGCATTTAATAATCACGATGCTCAGTTCCCTCAAGATATTTTCTGTATATAAGTGAAAATGTATAAGCAATCATTAAGCTACTTCACTTGAAATTTATCAGCATCATTATTCAGTTAATGCACTCCATGAAGATATCAAAATCCTTATGGACGATATGAATGCCAAACTGGGAACGGAGAAGTATTCGCAGACTTCTGCTCTTTCAAACAATTGGTGATCGGAGGGAGCGTGTACAAACGCAAGGATAAACACAAAGTAACATGGATTTAGCCTGACAGATACACCACAAACCAGCTGGATTTCATATCAATCTCAAATAATTGGGGAAGCAGCTATTCTGCTGGATACAAAGTCGAAAAGGGGAGCAAATAATTGCTCAGACCATCATCTAATTGAAGAAACCTTCAAGGTGAAGCTGAAATCAATGAAAACAAACGGGGACATACCACAGTAATTCAAGTTCAACATTCAGAAACTGAAAGACAAAACTGCAAGAGATGCTTTAACTACAGATCAGATCAGAGCAAAGTCGGACACACTACGTGGCATCACTGGTGAAACCTGTGTCGAAGAACACTGGCACTCTCTGAAAGCAATATTTAGTAAAACGTCTAGAAAAAGGCAAGATACGCCTTGGAAATCTTCTGAACTGACTCAGCATAAGGAACAAGATTCGCATTTTCAACATCAATATGAAGTCAGTCGGTCTTTCTGTACAAGTCAGAAACTTGCACTGCTTGTCACAAAAAGGATTTCCAACAGGTTGCAGACTTTCATCAGTAGCTGTCACCATCGCTGGCTCCGCACTGAAAATCAAAAGGCTGGCCATAGAGAATAAGCAACAAGAAATTGCACAGTGGAACAAACCAACATGCCAGAGTCAATCGCCCAACAAATATGTAGGAGAAAGTGGAGATGGATTAGGAATACATTGAGGAGGCCATTGAATAACATCGCGCGCCAGGCCCTCGAGTAGAATCCCGATGGGAAGCGACGAGTGGGTCATCGTTGTGAGGGTACCATGGAGGAGGTTGTATGAGAAAGAGATAAGAAAGTTTGGTGAATCTTTAACCCAGCTGAAGAGGTTGGCAGAAAACAGAATAAGGTGAAGATGTGTTGCTAAGTCCCTATGCTCTACCCGAAAGGCAAGGGAACACTAATAATAAATAATAATGATGAGGATATCAGCGCACCTAAAGAAAAACCTCTAAAGTGAGGCATAGTAGGCTGAACCATTTGCTTCAACATAATTGTACTGATGTATTTCAATTTGTATGTGCGTCGGTGTCACAGCGGTTAGGACGCTCGCCGACCATGCACATCGTCGGGGGTTCGATCCCAGGCCGATGCACTCCTTTACCTCGTTAAGCCAGAAAAAATGCTGGTAAAGAAGAAAGGTTGGTTGTGAGGCTAGCAACCTCATCCTGTAAAAATAAACACTGCTACAGAAACTTCAAACCACTAGTCGGAGGCCCAATGTTTCACTGGGAACGTGAAGGAAAAAAAATTTCAATTCATACCTGTTGAAATGTAACAACTTATTCTTTATTAAAAGCCAGTGGTATAAACACGCATTCCGTATTTTTTATTCATCTGTCAGACAATCTTCTGAATTTCTACTCAACGGAACGTCAGTAGTATTTTGAAAATCAGAGCTATCAGAACTTTTAAAAAACAGATTATCATGCAATTTTACATTTTTCAAGCTCTTTGTAATGGAAAAGTAAACTTCAGTCGAAATCTGGACATTTTATTTCTTCAGGACTGATGTTTTGGTGTCACTTATAAAATGAGCACAGAAAATACGTGCATTTCTGGATTTTCAAATGTTGGGTACAAGACATCAGCTAGGTGACATATATGGGGACTCATAACAATAATTGGGTAAAACGCTACAAATGATGTGATAAGCTTCTCATTTCAGCCAATAAAATTGAGGCTTACTAAAGAATTAGAAAATATTGTCGAAAATATTATAAGACACAAGATTACGATGGTAACTTTCATAGTTTTTTGATATGAAGCATTAAAAACGTCTATGGAAACATCTCAAAGTAGAGTGGAAATGAGACTTTTACTGCTTGTCAGTAGATTTTTTTAATTGAGACTTATTATGAACTCAAAATATCATATATTATCCCATCAGTGTTTGTTAAAATGACCTGATCAACTTGAAGAGTATACATTTGCCTAGTTCTCTAGGGCAGAAATCATTTACGCAAGTGAAATTCAAAATGAAATCTTTTCACAGACATTTCTCAGACACTCTAAACATGGATAACCTCATAAATGAAGCTATTTCGTGTTTCGTAAAATCGTAAATTTCATTTTTTTTGTTATATGCAGAAATATTCCTTAATGACTGGGTTTTAACTTTATTGAATTTTTATCTCCTACAATAGAGCATGAATCTTGGAGAATTACCCTGACATCTTCAATAATGATTTAGTTCATTGAATTAATTAAGAAGCTAGAAACTTTTTTCAACATTTATAATGATGATTGTGAATGACTTTAAATTTTTCATTGACTAAGAACCTATATTATCATATGAAATAACGAATATATAACGTATAACATAAGTAAATACTTGTGTTTTCGTAGCTTAACGTTCTAGTCCATATTCACACAGTGCGTAAATTCCATCTGATTCAGCGATGAACTTCTTATATCACTTATCCAAAAGGTGTCTATAGTTCGGATCTCCTAAACGAATAATCTGACGACCGGTAACCAGTGGGTTATAGCAAGTTGGGGGTGAGAACAAATACTCGTAGATGCCAGTGGCCAGTAGTCATAGCTTGTTGTGAATTAGAAGGTGAAATTAATAGGCTGGCTATTGGAACGAGTCCAAGTGGCTTAATGTTCAACTAGCTAGTCTAGTAACCGGAAGGGCCTGTGTCTGGACTTTGGTGTTCGCATACTGATACAGTGTCCTAGACTGGGCCGAAACAGCTGTCTCTTTCTCCCAGCTAGTCTTCCAATGGTTCCGTAACCGATACCAGCTAATGATGAAATCCTGTAACGTGTAAAGTCTACTCAGAAGCATCTACATATCCCCATTACGAGTTGATCAAGGATTGAAATCAGAACCATTGAAAACCAGAGGCGTGCTGGACAGGTGTTTCATCCGGGTACGCACCGACCGTCAGGATTCGAACCCAGGATCTTCCATTTACAAAGCAAGCTCGTATATCATTCAGCCACTGTGGCCCCATTCAACGGCTCATGAATTTTAACTTCTACCAACTCGTAAAATCAAAACGCACCCTTACAAACCAACTATAGAAAATAGCCTCATTACCCATTTTACCTCTTCTATTCATGATGTGACCTGATTGCGCTGTTTTCTATATTCATCACTCCATTGAAAAAGCAGTGTAAACGTGAACAGAAATCGTACCGCTGCCAGTAAATGATATAGATTTGTGCATGTATAACAAACCGTATACTCTAAATTTAGCAGTTCATTTTATATCTCAATGTAAACAGCATGTAGTCCCTTTCCTTTTGTCTATATTATGAATAAGAGTAACATTGTGTTCAAAAATCGGCTTGCTCTTCACTAGATAGAAAATTTCAGTACGAATTTTAACATTAGGACGACATCAATTCTCAACTAATGCTGAGCACTAAAACATATTTGTGAGAACACAAGTAAGCCGTGAGTGAGAGTGAACCTGCTTTTATAAACAGTTCCCGTCCAAGCGACAGTGAAAACAGGAAGTTCTTCAAACAATCTCTTCCCTGTAATTAAGATTTCTGAAGCCGTAAAATCACATTTCGGTACAATTTTTCTCAAAAGGGTGGTTAGTAAAAGTTTTAAGAATCATCGCAAAGAACAGTTGCTAATATTAATCTGTATATAAATAAGAAGT